ACGTGATGTGAAAGTCTACAAGGTAGACCCTTTGAAATGCAAAATCTTCCAGAGTCCTTCAAATGTGTTTTCTCGGGTTCCTAAGGCTGCTTTCAGACCCACCCATCAGCATTTCCCCTCTCAATCAACCCACATTTAACAACAAAACCAAAAAAAAAAAAAAAAAAAAAAATTTTTTTTTTTTTAAACAAGGACATCTCTCTATTTTTCAGAAAAGCTCAAGTATCTCCAAGACCCTTCAAGGAAAAAAATTTGTCCTCAACTCCAGGTTCCTGGCATTCCCTCCAAGACATCCTGAAACCCAGTTTCCTCTGGATATTTCCTCCCATGTTAAACCGGCATTGCCCCAACTGCTGCTCAGGATCTCAGAGAATTTTCTTAGAAAAGAATCCAGGTTCCCTCTGGCCAGAGTTTGGTAAGGTTAGGACAGCCATCACCAAAACCACAACCCAAACTTCCAAAGCCCAAACCTTTACCCAAAACCACATGCACAGGAGGTTTGGATTAAGTATCAAAGAAGTTACCTTAAAACAATATTGTTTGGCAAAGAAAATTACTTTACCAAAAGAAGAACCCTAGGGGACTGTAAATTGCTCTTGAATATGGACTTCAGTGGCATGGTCATTAATCATGTTAATGTAAACTGCACTAAAACAAAAATTTTCTAAGCAAGTCTCAGGGCACATCAGCATATCTAAACCTCTACTTCTGTTTCTAAAGTTCACATCCCAGCACAAAATGAAACCACTGTTAATGGAGTCAGCTATCACAGTACAACCCTGGGCCACAGTGAAGGTGATTCGGTGTGCACCATGGTGCACACCTGCAATCCCAGTGACTGGGGAATCTGAGGCAGGAGGATGGCAAGTTCCAGACCAGCCTCAGCAACTTAGGGAGGCCTAAGCAATTAAGTGAGACCCTGTCTCAAAATAAAAAACAAAAAGGACTGGAGATGTGGCTCAGTGGTCAAGCATCTGTGGGTTCAACCCTGGTTACCACACCCCCCCCCAAAAAAATGTATATGTGTGTGTGTATGTATATATGAATCTTCATAAAGTTAAGCAGGAAACAGTAAAAAGGAGAGTCAGTGATTTGGGGGAAAGTGTATTCATTGAACAAGTTTAAACAAACTCTCCCTGGATGATCAGGGAGACCAGTCAACATTCCTCACAGCACCCAAGTCCCCTGCCAGGCCTATTTTGTTGGGTGAAGGACAGGGCAGCAGCTGGACCAGCAAGGAGGAGTGGAGCCCAGCAGAGCTAAGCTGCGCTGAGCCCTGCCAGAGCCAGCCATGTGCCTCGTGTTGGCAACAAACTGGCTCTTTCAAGAGAGGAGGAGTCTGACAGAAAGGACAGCTGCAGCAAAGCAGAAGCTGAGAGGCAGAGACCTCCAAAAAGCTGAGGCTGGGATTCGCCTCTTAAATTAAAACAAAAACAAAAACAAGCCACCTTTGGGTCTTGCAGGGCCTAGTTAATCTATTAACATCTCCCCCTTGCTGGATCAATTAAAGAGAGCCCCTCCACATCTGGTTTCCATCTAAAACCGAAACTTGTATTATCAGCATATTACATAACAAATTATGCCTGCAGGTTTCTTTTATTACACATCAGAGAGGTGTGCATGGTGGTGGTGATGATGGGGGTTGTGCTGATCTGAGTATTTGCTTAGTCTTTTTTTTTTTTTTTTAAAGAAAAAGAACAAGAAATTTTCCTAACGGTGTACAATTAACTCCAGTAAATCACACTGCCTGGGTAAAACATCAAATGGCCTGAAGGTGGGTCTGACACTCAGTCTTCCGGGCCCAAGAATGGAATAGTAGATGAGAAGGGTGTGCTTTTTTTTTCTCCATATTTTTATTGGTGCATCATAATGACACAGAACAGTGGGATTCATTGTTACATATTCGTTCATGCACATGATATAACAATATAATTTGGCTAATGTTGTTCCCAGTATTTCCCTGTTCCCTTCCCTCCTCCCTCCCCCTTGTGACTTTCCTCTACTCTTCTGGACTCCCTAAGGGTATGCTTTTTTGAAAAGCTCTGCAGACACCTTGCTGCTCCTCAGCGTCCCCTGCTGCCAGTTCTCAGCACTTAAAGGCTCCCCTCTCCAGCCTCCTGAAGGAAAGAAGAGCCCCTGCCCTTTTCTGAGCTTCCATCATGGATCAGGCCCTGCTCACTGGACACACTTCAAGGACACCCAACCCACCAGGTTTTAACAGAACTAGAATAATGGGAGGCTGGGGGATAGTGAAAGAACCAACAGCAGGGAAGAGAAAGACTAAAAGTGGGGCAGAGAAAGAGCCCAGGAAATAGCACCAGGGCTCCCTATAAAATGTCAATTAAGTTTAGCCACCGTGAAGACAGTAAGGTATTTTGGGCTCTTTCCAAAAAAACCTGATGAATTCTAAAATGCTATTGTGCACAACATACCCTAAGTTGAAAACAGAAAGTAGAAAGTGTTTTAAAACATTACCAATTAAAACAGTCAAATGCTCTGCTTTGTTCTGACACAGCTGGGACAACCTTCAAGCCCACTTCTGTAACAATGACATTGCTAGCTTTTATTTAAAATTTGTCCTTAATGTAAAAATAATTGCAGATCAATCTCACCTCTGGGGAAAATAAGTTCATAGGCAAAACTATTTGCACTAAGTCTTAAAATCACCTTGCTCTCTGAATGAACACTTGGGAGAAAAAACACAGGCCTTCCCTGAATCCTCTCCCTAGATTTCTTGCCTAGAATAGTGCCCTGGAAGCTGGATCAGCACATGCCTCACTCCTCAGGATGGCTGACAGCATCTAGACCTACCCAGGTGAAGTCATAGCTACCAATCTAGAACTTAGACCCAAACTGTCTTCTACTAGAAAGGGACTGTCAACTGGAACATGTAGCTAGCTGTTTGCTGTTTCTGCAGCCCATGCATGGCTAAGGGGAAAGAAAACTCCAGACCTGCAATTCAGCATCAAAACTGTAAATGAGAAAAGTTATAGTTAAGTGGATGAATTAAAATGCAACCAAAACCTGGCCCGGGTCAGGACAGTTGAGTTTCACACACCGTCTCCTTCCTTCCCAAGTCCTCCAATCAGGTAGCATCTTTTAACCTGTAGTCAGGAATGTGGAGCAAGGAGGGATCCCCCATGCAGCCAGTGGGGACTGCTGGGAACACATATGCTAGCATGTCATTTGGAAGTCTGCTAATATGTTGAAGCAGCACAAGACGCTTGCCTGGCTTCCCAGGCCAATAAACAATGCCATTCCAACTCCTGCAGCAGTCAATAGAAAACAGTCCCTTTTCTCCACCACACAACAATTCAACAAACATTTGTTCATGTTGAACAACCGTCAGCCTGGCTCCATCTGCACCAGCTCTAGCAAGGCGAGCACGGCGGCAGCAAGGCTGCACAAATGCCCTGCCCAGGAGCCCCGGAATGCAACCCACCGCGGGGGCCACTTTCCCAACACCACTGAGTCCGGATTGTACCGTATGGAAGACTCGGAGTGTGGCCTATAGGAGGCAGAATCTCATTCATCAAATGCAGCAAAGAGCTTTTCTTTGTTCACCATGGTACTAAGTACAGTACGTGTTAATGAACCCGGGCGGTCAGAAGAAGGAAAACCAGCATCAGAGGGTGTCTGAAGACTCAGGACCACGGCAAGCCAGCCCGCGCGACTCACCAGTGTTCCAGCACCCAGTTCCACACACAAGCATTGTTCCCCAAGTCCGCAAGGGTGGGGGAGTTGCTGGCCAAGGGCGGGGGGTGAGGGGGGGACTGCAAAAGAAAACACTTGGGGCAACCCAAACCGCGGACCCTCCCCAATTCTGGGTTTCCTCCCCTCATTCGTCCCCGCCCCACCAAGAGAAAGCCCGAGCGGGGAACCCGACTCCCACGGGCTTGCAAATCAAGGATTGGCAAAAATATGACTCGAACAGCGTGCCCGTGACTGACTGCCCTCCTCGCCATGTGCAAAAGCCACGCCGGCACGGGCGACCCCCACCCAAAAGCTCTGGTGTAGCCACCCCGTAGGCTTTGCCCTCCCAGGACAGAACGTCCTCTCCCTCTCACCCCCATCACGACCGCACCGGCTAGCCCAGCAGTCGTGGAGCTCGTCGCTGAGAGCCCGCATCCCAGGGGTGGCGGGTGCAAACTTCCGCGAACAAAAGAGTTGTCTGCAAACGATGCGGAACTTCGGGGCGAGCGGGGCCGCACGGCTCCCGAGGCTCGGAGCCTTCGCTGCTGCCGCGAACCAAGACTCAAGTTGAGATGCAGAGAGGGGGCACCCGGGTCGGGGGAGCGCAGACTTTTCCGCAGCGACCAGGCTAGCCCTCCCCTCGACTACGCGCTGACAAGTCTCACGCCTGCACCAGGGGCGAGACTCGGTGCCGGCGGAAACCACCCGACTCAACGCGAACGCGAAACCAGGCGGAAAAAAAAAGGAAACCAATATTAGGGGAAAGGAAAAAGGCAAGCCCAGCGCGCACGCGAGCCGGGTTCCTTCCAGCCGGCGCCGGGGCGCACAAGCAGGGACCTCTGCTCGGGGCCAGCCCCCCGGACGCCGCCACCACCCGGCCTGAGGTCGCTTACTGTGCGCAGCGGGGCGCTCCGGGAGCGGGCCCCGCACCGTCACCGCCGGCGCTCGCCAAGTCGTCCCGGCTGCCCGCCGCGCGTCTGCCGCGCGCACGCTCTCCTGCCGGCGCCGAGCGCTTTGTACCGTGCGGCTCCCGGGGAGGAGGAAATCGACTTGTCACTTCCTGAACTGTTTGCAACTCGTCCCTTTAACCCGCCCAGGCCAGGCCGCCCGCGCCCGCCGCCGCCGCGGGGCAGACCGACCGCGTCTGCGTGAACTCAGCCCAGCGCTCTGCGGGCGGCGTCGCAGTCCCCGGCGCTCAGCGGCGGCGGCGGCGTGCAGGAGCCTGGCGGCGTGCGACGGCGGCGGCGGCGGGCGACTCTGCAGTGCGCGTAGCCGCCGGTGGGCGGGGAGTGGGGGTGCCGAGGCGCGCCGCCGGCGGGGGCTAGAGGGCGTCCTACGAGCTGAACCGCGCGCTGCTTGCCGAGCTCGCGCCTACGAGGCCCCGGGACGCGGGAAGTGGCCCCAGGCCCGGGCCGCGTCACCACCGTAGCTGCCTGGTCAAGATCTCCAGGGGCCTCTCTCCCCGTCTTCCACGCACAATCCAGAACGAAAATCCTGGGCCGCGTGGGCTTCGGACATCCAGCTTCCGGGTTGTTAGGTGTTGAGGTTGAAAAGAAATCATCGTTTCTGTGGTGTGCAGGAGGCAGGGGAGGGGGACCTCTTAGTGTTGTCACACTTAGAACTAACATAAAGCGCTAGTTTCCTAATTCGGAGCGCGACCGAAATAAAGGAATGTGTACTTCAGAAGCCTCATCCAAAATACAGGCAACTGGCGAAGGAAGGATTTGTGGTTGCTAAGCAGAGGCAGAGCATGTTTAGCTCTGTAACTTAGGATGTTGACTTAAGTTCAGGAATGTAACCCTGATAGAATAAGCAGAGTATTTTCATTGTGCAGCTCACCTGGGGGAGGGGGATTGTTTTCCTTGTGAGTGAAGCCCTAGATTTCCCATTACTCCTTCCTACTGATGGATGTTATTTTATTGACCTTGTATCCAAAAAGATTTTTAAAGACGTTTTTAAAAAAGAACTCCCTATGCCTGTTTTGTGTTCTGCTTTGCCAAAAAAACAAAACACCTCATTACTTTACATGGATTGTGTCTGCACCATTTGAATGGTTCTATTCATAAATCAGGAAACTTTTTCTGTTGCTTCTAGGAACATTTAATTGGTTTTAATCCAATGTTTCAATCCCAGTATCAAACATAAATGAACAATTAACTTCTTGAGCTTGTGTGCACTTGGGAAACGATTATATTTCATGACTATTGCTGAAATATTTCAGCTTGTCATCACAGTGGACCCATTCTTTTCAGAAAAGCATGAGCTAACATCTCATTTCACACTCACTACAGCTCACTCCAGTGATTCTGGTACAAGATTAGGATAAACAACAATCAGTAGAAAGGATGAGTCCATTCATTTCAAGTACACGATGTAGGACATAATCAGTTCATCCAGAGAACTGAAATACGCAAATATGCAGAATACCAAAATACTGATATCTTTACCCATAAATATTACTTTTTATTTAAAAATGTACTAAGGACAATTTTAAAAGAAACAAGTACCGAGAATGAACAAAGGAAGGCACAAGGTTAAAGCGAGAGGGCTTCTACACTTAAGGAAAAATAACAGTATTTCCCTAAAGCTATCTCATCACAGTCTCTACCACCTCAGCCTTTCAGAGCTTTAAGGATATAGTTTAATTTGCTAACTTTTTATTAGAAGTACTAGAGTGACTCCTGCTGGCAAACATTCAGTTTATTCCTACAATTACTAGTTCATCGGTTCAACTTAAAAAACAAGATGCAGGGGTCCTAAGCCTGGAAACAATTATTGCAACCATTATTCTTTTTGCTTTCAGGATGATGTTAATCTCACAAAATTCCAAGGACGGTGGTTATGGGCACCTCCTTTGCTGTAACTCCTTCTTTCCAACCCAAAGCAGCCTGTTTTTCTGGTTCTGAGGCTTTCTTGATGTTTAGAACTAAAATTCCTGCTCAAGAAGCCAAGTTAACTTCAATGAATAGCTATTTCACATCCTCAAAGGCTAAAAATATATACATCAAGGTCTGTGTCACTTAGTCTTCCATACCATAGGCTCTCCCCACATGTTGTGATAAGTCATAAAATACCCACACTTCTTAGTACTAAATCTTCATAGTTCTTCATTTAAAAAAATCCTACCTAAAAGGTTGTTATCCAAACTCTGAATTTTAAACTATGTAAACTGCAATCTGCGGGTGGGGGAATCTAAACTGTCTACCTTTGTTCAGTACTTACCAGTCAACCAAATCAGAACCAGATTTAGAGCACAACCAAGCACCTAAACACAAATCCACACCCCAATTTAAGAATAAATCCATAAATAATCTGAAAGCTATCACTTATATCTTTTCCATTATCTTTGACAAACACTAGCCTAATTAGAACATGGAACACCCTGTGAAAACATAAAATTATACTTACAGTCTCCAAGACCAATATATGAGGCCCAGGGAAAAAGCACAGAAACACTGGCTCTCTTGCTCCCACCATGAGAGGACTACCAAATAGAAGAGTGCTTGTGTGCATAGTATGCATCCACTCAAAACTGCCTGGACGACTGAAATTGAGCATCACTCTATATTAGAGAGCTCCCTCATTCCAAGTTTAAAGCTCTTAAGCAACAGGAGACAATAAGGGTGTATTTTATTAAGATAGGGTGTAACCAACTATAACATGTATCAACAAGCTAATAAAAGTATTCACCTAAGCACATTTGTACAAAGGAGGGTAAAGGTTGGGTTCTGATACGCACTAAGGAGTGTCTGAGGCAGTTAGTTGTGTTTAATTTTATGCCTTTAGAACCAGGATAAATGTGATGTTCAAATGACAAAGAGCTAGGCTTTGAAGTCAGAGCTAGTGCCAGTGAATGTTCAGATGCCCCCATCAAAATCTCCCTGTACCTATGGTTTTTAAGAGCTCACCACTAAAAAAATTAGAAACTGGTTTGAGAGAATAACATACTATTCTTTGTACACTAACAAAGTGAACTAAACAAATGTCAAACACGTTATACACTGGGCCTAACAGCAGTATGCAGACGCATGTGTATTAACCCCTTTATTCAGCTTCTAAAAGCCACTGCCTCTTTGTCACAACTGTTGTATTAAAAGCCAGTCATTCACATTTCACAGTGTTCTTTCTACATCTGAAAAGATCTTTTTTCAAGCAAAACCTTTTAAAATTGCTTATAATGCATCATGGAAAGACACACATCACCAAATCCACCTGAAATGCTTTCAAAGAGTCCGGCTACTGAAAATAAGTTAGTAGAATATACTATTTTTGGAAAATATGAAATGTTTCTGTTTATAGCTAGAAACCAAAAATGAACCAATCATGGGGGCAATTTTATACAGATCTTATTCATAAAAACAAGGCCTGTATTTCCTCATCTCTGTCCAGCTATAACTAATAGCCCTATCTACTATGACATACTAATCTTTCTGTTCTTTCCTGTTGTTCTTTATATCGATGAAAATTTTATCTCTGGCTTGAATCATTCATGTATAGATATAGATCTCCATAGATATATATGTGTCATATATAAATACATATTATCCAGCTTATACACACATGCACACTTGTGCATTTGCGTGTACAATTTTAAACTTTTTAAAGAGGCACTTTGATTCTTGAAGACAAAATCACATTTTGATCCAAGAACTAAAAAAGCAAATTTATTTTCATTGAAAAATCACCACCACGGTGAATTTAATGATACCAATCTCACTCCTTTGATACAAAATAAGAGTTGAAAGCAGAGCATGTGAAGCCGCAAAGCTTTGTAACTGAATGTCTAGCACCATTGAGGTACCAAAGCATGCCAGCTGGGACAGCATTGTGTACCACAAAGTATGGGTTGTAAGCCTACGTCCTGAGCACAAACCCTGGTTTCCAAGTTGGCAGGTGCTGAAAACACAGCAAATGTCACGCTTGCAACTCACTGGATAGAAGAGCTCTGGGTAAAGTAAGCTAAAAAGAACAGAGCAACAGTTAAAACTTATTTCAATTTCATATTACCTCTTTGTATGCAAAGTTAATAGCATCTGTTGGTGTTATGTGCTATATAAGAAAACATAAGCATAAAAAGCAGACATTGAAAAGTTTATACATGGTTTAAAAAAAAAAGTATAATAAAGGCTTTTCACTATCTACATTCAGTTACTGGCATATGAAAATTTGCCAAACCAGTTTTAGTATTCTAATAGTAAGGTTCAAGAGCAGAATCTCTGATGTATTTATGATCTCAAGTGGACTCTAATATCACTAAAATATGGTTAGTCATCTGTAATCTAGTTTGCCTTAGTCACGTCATCAAAAAGAGCTTTAAAAAAGTTAGACTACTTTGACATTGGTATATCTATATCTATCTATCTATCTATCTATATATATATATATATATACATACACACACACACAAATTGTTTGATTTAATCTATAAAATATTTCAACTGCATCCCTAGCCTAAATGTTTATATTACCATCTTCAAATAAAATCATTTCAACTTCTTTTCTTAAATATTCTTTAGAAGAAAGAACATTGAATATTTAATATTTAATATGTGAACATTTAATATTTGAAAGATGAGCCCAAACTTTGATTTTTCTGACACAAACCACTGAGCCACATCCCCAGCCCTTTTTTTAAATTTTGAGACTGGGTCTCTCTCGCTAAATTTCTTAGGGCCTCACTACATTGCTCAATCTATAGAACTTTCTTAAAACAGGTTAAGGACTAAAGCTCTTTGAAAGTAAATAGTGAAAGCAACATCGATCTGATCAACATTTCTATCATACCAGGCACTCTAGACACTGAGATATTCACTTCCACCAATAAAAAATTTAAAGAAATAAACAAATCTGAAAATCAAATGTTTTCAAGACTAGCATAAACAACTAGTTCACCATACTTTTTATACTTAGACTGTCAGTTCCAGTATAAACTAAAAACAAATCAGATAAACTATTTAAAATATTACTCAACATCAAACTAAAAAACACCACTGTGTAAATGGCATTAACTCAATTATAGCAAAGGAAATAAACATGACTCACAGATCAAAGAAATCAAATCCGGATGAGGCAAGGTAGAAACCAATTATAAAATCTTAGCCCATTGCTTCCTAACTGGTCAGTAAAAGACTCAAATCCAACTCAACATTGAACTCTCATTTAAACCTAATGCTATTTATATAATGCACTAATAAAAATATGGGAAAAGTAAAAAATAAATAAAATAAACCCAATGCTACCAAATTCCTAATGCATGATCATCTGGAGACCTCCTCTTGGGTTCCTGTTTGATGTCACCTGGAATAACATCTTGGCATTCAAATCTAATGAAGGGAAGTATACTAAATATCCTTGCCCATTTTTCAATTCAAATGTATCCATATAACATTTTCTCCATCATAACTACATCTATTACTGAACAATTATTGCAAATTATCTAAGTCTGAGTGGTATTCTTAGCCACTGCTGAAACAAGTCATAAAGGATATCTGAAAATTTGGAACCGAGATATGCAGTTCCCATTCCTTAGCTACAGTACCAGCCCTAGCTAAAACAAAGGAAGAAGGAGCTATACAGTATGATTGTTTTTAATTTTTGAAGGGCCCACCTGTTCCAAGATTTTGCTCTTTCTCTTACTTATCTACCATTCCTCCCAGTATCTTCACTCAATCATACCCAGAACACAAATGCCTTTCAATATAACTGAATATTTTAAATGAGGTGGTAAAATCCCAAACAATTCAACGTATTATCCCCAGTGGAAAGAAGGGTCCTTAAAGGAAAGAATATTTGGCACTGGTGTGTGCTAGGAATCATGCTAAGCTGCTTTACATTTATTTTCTCACTTAATATTCAGAATCCTATTAGGCAAGGGCTATACCGTTGATTGTCTCCATCCCATCAAGCATGTATGGAAATGAAAACAACCCTAAGTAAGTATATATTATACAATTGGGGGCTTTGCTATTAGCACAATATAGTTCAGTTTCGTTGAGGAGATAAGCAGTTATAAGGACAAATTGACAGAAGCCCACAGAGGTAGAGGGTACAAAAGGGCAGACCCACGTACTAAGACTCAAGAACAATCTCTGTGACACAAAAAGGCAGAAGTCTCAAAGCCTGGGACTTCAATAGTAAAGGTTATCCATGAATGTATGCAGTTGTGTGTGTTTGGGGCACAGAAAAACCAAATCAGGAAGATCCTTCAGATTATCACAATTTTCCTTAAGCTTAGTGCCTTGATCTCTCGTCTTTTTATATATAAAGTGGAAGTGGTCTAAATAAAATGTAAATTTCTAAGTTTACTGGATAAATCATTTCTATGGTCAAATGAATACAAACTGAAATATATAGCAGAGACAATACTCAACTCTAAAGTTTAACAAAGCATGCACAGAGTTTTTAAATTGAAAAATACTCATCTGGTCACTTTAAATATTTTATTATGTGTACATATATTTTTCATATACAGATATCTTGGCTTAAAAGAGCCATCAGTTACCTAACAACTCATATTTAGCTAAAAATGGAATGTTTAAGGTCCTCATACATAGTAAAAATCTATTTTGCAGGTCTTTTTCTAAACCTTGGATCAAATTCAAAGATTATGGACTAAATGTTGGTTTCCTCCCCAAATCTGTATATTGAAGTACTAAGCCCTGAAGTGATGATATTTGGAGGTGGGAACGTTGTGAAGCAATTTAGGGTTAGATGAGGACCTGAAGAATTAAAATTAGTGCCCTTAAAAAAAAAAAGAGAGACTCCTTAAAAAAGAGAGAGAGAGAGAGACCAGTTTGTGTGCCTCTCTTTTCTCTCTCCCTCCTTCCCTCCCTCCCCCCACTAGCACATACAAGGAGGTCGCAGGAACACACAAGGATGGCAGCCACCTTCACGCCAAAGGAAAAGATTTCAGAATGGAACATACCTTGCCAGCACCTTGATACTGGAATTCCAGCCTCCAGAACTGTAAGAAATAAATTTCTGTTGTTTAAGACCCCCAAGTCTACAGTACTGTATTACGACAACCTAAGCTGCAGTAGCAGAGAATTTTAATATCACCAACTGAATGCTCTTGATGTACAGAAAGAAAAACTAAAGTTCAGAAAAGGAAAGTAATTTGCATAGTGTAATCACTTGGAACCAGTTTTTTTTTTCTCTTTCCATTTTTGTTTTTTGTGTTTGTGTGTGTGTGTGTTTGTGTGTGTTTAAAGAGGGGTCTCACTGTGTTGCCCAAGCTGGCCTTAAACTTTCATTCCTTTTGCCTGAGCCTCCCAAATGGTTGAGATTAGAAGCACACAACTCCACTCACGACCATCTAGGTTTTTTTTTAATAATTTTTTTTTTAATATTTATTTTTTAGTTTTCAGCAGACATAACATCTTTGTTTTGTGTGTGGTGCTGAGGATCGAACCCGGGCCGCACGCATGCTAGGCGAGCGCGCTACCGCTTGAGCCACATCCCCAGCTCCTAGTATTTTTTTAAATCATTTCCTTTGGGGGGGATAGTAGAGGATAGGAATGGCAGCAGAATACAACAGACACTAGTATGGCAGTATGTAAAAAAGTGGATGTGTAACCAATGTGAATCTACAGTATGTATACGGGGTAAAAATGGGAGTGCATAATCTGCTTGAATCAAATGTATGAAATATGATATGTCAAGAACTTTGTAATGTTTTGAACAACTAATAATAAAAAAAGACAGAAAAAAAATTTAAAAAAACTTAGAAACAAATTTTAGTTCTAAAAAAATAAAAAAATAAATAATTTCCTTTGATATTATTAAGTTATTTCCTTTGGTAATATTAAGTAATTCTATTACTTAACATATTTTAATTATAAGATAAATTCAACTCAATTCCAAGCTGAAAAAATAATCTAATTTATTTATTGCAAATTATTAGTCAAATGAACTTAATAAATTATCTCTTCTAGTTATAAAACACCTTTATCATACAGAGATTCCAATAGGAAACCTCAACTCACTAATTGAACAAACCTTTGGGAAAGACAGCTTATTTCATAGTGAAGTCCAATACTCAGAACTGCTCTGTTTAATTAATTACTTTTTAATTAAATAATAACTACAAAACTTGACATTTCCAACTACAAAGCCATGTGGAATTCTAGCCTCTCTCTTGAACAAAATATATTATCAATTTTTGACCCAAATAGCTCTCTTCATGGAATAGAGCTTTCCTCTACACCCACTGGGGTCTGCAGAGGGGATAAATGGCTCAGACTTGTGTGTCTTGCTTATGACCGCTTCTCAAAAATCAACAAACATTATTCTCATTCAAAACAACAGCCTAAAAGCAGTTTCACTGAAACACAAATGGACCTCAAACATTCTATTTGCATAACACAACATGTAGTTTTCACTCAGGCCTTCCTTCCAAAGCTTGCATACAGCTCTTAAATTCAGCCCAGTATGCTTTATTATATACCATATTATGATTTTCCCCATTCAGACTCCAACTAGGCTTCTTACCAATGACATAGAAAGAAAACCTAATTATCACTGCTTTGGCACATCTAAATTTATTTCATTACCAAAATCAACAGAGTAGGAGCTAGATGCTGTCACAGAAAGGCAGAGGGATATGGAGCATAAACTGCTCTTTCCTCTACTCTTCCTCTCCACACCCCGCCCCTCAAAGTTCCACAGTTGGAAATCATCCTAACATTTTTTTAGCCAGGATGTACTAAAATTAGATGGGAACAAAGGCCTGACATTTTCATATTAGCAAAAGGGTTAGGAGGCAAATGTGAACTGGCAGCACCCACACTCATCTACACATAGCCTTTTCCTCCCAAGTCTCTCCTCTCTGAAGTAGTAAGGCATGCGACAGCAGGGTACAACACCATTTCCATTCTGCTACCATCCCTGATAATAAACTGCTTTATCTGTAAATACCTTAATAAAGAGTGGTAAATACAGTTCACAGTCCCCTTGCCAAC